GGATTGAGCCTGCAACTGAAGTACGTACCCTTGGCCAGAATGGAACCCGGGACCCTTCAGTCCAGGGGCCGACACTCTAACCACTAGGCCAAACCAAGTAGGGCTCACAGCAGTTTTTACAATTAAAAAAAAGAACTTAACAAAGTAAATATATTAAAATTATAATATAGATGCACAGTTACTGACATAGAAAGATGTTTACAACTTATTAAGTGGGAAAACTAGGTTAAATGGCAGTATAATACTATTTTGTAAAATTAAACAAACATACCTGTGAAACAGTATGAAAGCACATACACCAAAATTTTTACAGCACTATCTCTGAATATTGAGTTTATTTGAGGTTTTAAGTTTTTCACTTTGCTTACTTATATTTTAAAGCATTTTAAACCATAAAACTTGATTACATGTGTAATAAGATGAATAAATAATGATTTTATGCACAATCATTTACATTTTTTCATGAATATAAAACACTTCCACGTTGTAAGGACTTTGGAAGAAAAAAGAACATAAAGAAGTAAACGAAAATCACACATTATCTTATCCACCTAGAGATGATACGTTCACAATCCCCAATGGGTTTATTTCTGTCATTTGTCTCTGATTATATATTTAAAATAATTGCAATCATACTTTATATAACCTTGCATGCTGATTTTTGCTTAATATTATATAATTTAAACAGACCATAGCTTTTTTAATGGAATAATGTTCCATCATATGGAAAGAGCACACTCCCTTAATTATGCTCTTAAAGTTAGGCCCTTGGGTTTTTCTGTTTTTAACTATACCAGATAACTATGTGAGGAACACCTTTGTGAATGAATTATCCACATTTTAGATAATTCCCTTAAGTATATTCATTGAAGTGACAATACTAAGTCAGAGTACAAAAAATTTTATATCCCTTGACATATATTGTCAAAACTGTACTTACTATATATTTTAAGGCAGCATGGAATAATAGGGAAAAAAATAAGTCAAAATACATTGATCCCATGCCCATCTTTAGAACTTGCTGCTTAACCTCTGATTAGGTAAAAACATCCATCTTATCTAAGTCACAAGGTTATTGTGATAAATGAGAATCTAGGTCCTTTGGTCAGCATAAATGTTACTTCCTCAGCATCCTATACTTACTTTTCCTTCATGGCCTTACAAAACTTAAAAATAATTGTTCAATTATTTGAACACTGTCTGTTTCCCCCAGATGACTTGAAATTCCATTAAAATATGCCTGGCATACAGTTGGTGCTCAATAAATGTTTGTTGAATGAGTGGATGGATGAATGAAGTGACAACACTTTGTAAACTAAATCATTAGACATTTGTAAGATATTATTATTATTATTAATTTATATTACCATGTAGATAATTCTAAATCTTTAGAGACTTCTTGACTAATTAAAATTTCACTATGTGGCTTTAATGTTTGTCATGTCAACCAGAGGTATGGGTAGCAATGTTGCTGGAAGTACCTGATAGGAGCTGAGACTTGGAGAACCAAGTAGTTAGTTCTCTAGGTCAGCATGCTGGGAGTTAAGGAGTTTTAGTTACCGTTAGTGGGACATAAGCAGTGGTAAGAATCCAAGAGATCAGTGATATTTGAAGCAGGTGGTTCCTGGAGGTCAGAAACAAACTAATGGTAAGTGGTCTAGATAGTAAGGTGCAAACTGGAGAACAGTCAGAGATAAGGAAGTAAAGTGGATGAGACAGTTAAATTCTACGCACCAGTACTCAAAGCATGGAGTTACAAATATGATTCTAAAGCAAAGGGTACTTGAACTCATGCTGTCTTATATTATTTCTACCCAAATTGAAAATAGTATGAGGAAGTGTTTGTGCCTAGAACCATATACATGAGCAAGGAAATGACAGTAGCTAGTTCATGAATGAGATCTGTGAATATAAACAAATAGGTTTTGATAGTGACAAGATACAGTAAGACCATTTGTATATAAGATTTTATAATAGTCTACACATAAAATGGGAGCAATCAAGCTTTGGATCTCATAAATCTCATCTTGATTTTCAACAGCAGATATTATAGTATGGTAGTTAAAATCATGGACTCTGGAAATAGGCTAGTTGGCTTCAAATCCTAGCTCAATCACTTATTAGTTGTGTCCTTTGGAAAAGTTACTTCACCTATGTGTGCCAGTTTCCTCATCTGTAAAACAGGGATGATAGTATCTACCTCAATGGGTTCTTGCAAGGATTAAATGAGTTGATGCATGTAAGGACCTTAGAATAGTGCCTGGATATAGCAAATACTATGTTTGTTAAGTGTTATTATTATTATTATTAGTCACATAAGACCAAACAAAAATTGATGTTATAAAAATGGATAAATACACTGTATGTTTTCCACTGTATATTAACTTTAGCTAAAATAATAAAGTCTTTAGTTCTGTTCATTAAAATAAGAATTTCATTTGCACCTAAGCATAGTTGACCACATAAAAATTATAAGCAATAGTAAAGTAGCAATATTTATCACAGCAATCGCATATCTGTGGTTTTTTCTATAGAAGCTGTTCTATGAATGTTATATTTTAAAATTGTAAAGAATAAATACACATTCTCTAATAGCAAAAACCACTATTAGGCTTTACTAAGTCAATCCATAAGATCTGGTCTATAAAAAGGGATGCCATTTTAAATTTTCTGAAGCTAGTTCCACTAGAAGCAGGAATATTTGAGTTGGGAGACTTGTCTGTGGAAAGATCTGAACATGGAAAGGCTCAGGCTTGGAAAGGCTAATTTAGAAAAAGTCTGGACCTGGGGAAAGGTTGGAAGACATGAACTATGGAACATGTTAGAATACCTGGATATCGTAGACACTGGAAGACCTGAATGTTGGAAGACCGGTACACGGGAGACGGAAGACGTGGAATTTGAGCCCATTGTTGGAAGACTAGGTAGTTGTCGGAAGACGTGGAGATGTTGGAAGACTTGGAGATGCTGGAAGATGTGGAGATTCTGGAAGACATGGAGATGCTGGAAGACAAGCAGATGCTGGAAGCCCTGGAGATGCTGGAAGACCTGGAAGTGTAGGAAGACATGAATTTTCTCGAAGACATGGCTTAGTTGGAAGACGTAGATTTTCTGGAAGACGTGGCTTTGTTGGAAGACGTGACTTGGTTGGAAGACGTGGTTTTGTTGGAAGACGTGGATTTTCTGGAAGACGTGGCTTTGTTGGAAGACATGGATTTTCTGGAAGACGTGGCTTTGTTGGAAGACGTGAGTATGCTGGAAGACATGAATTTGATGGAAGACACAGCTTTGTTGGAAGACAAGGATTTGCTGGAAGCCATTGATTTTCTGGAAGCCATGGATTTGATGGAAGACGTAGATAGTTTGGAAGACCTGGAACTGATTGGAAGATATGGATTTCCTGGAAGACATGGATTTTCAGGAAGACCCGAATTGTCCGGAAGATCTTGATTGTTTGGAAGATGTAGATTTGCTGGAAGACCTGGAGGTTACGGGAAGACGTAGATCTCAAGGGAGACATAGATTTGCAGAAGACGAAGATTAAGTGGAAGACATGAATTTTCTGGAAGACGTGGCTTTATCAGAAGACCTGGATTTAGTGGAAGACATAGATTTTGTCTGGAAGACGTGGATTGACCAGAAGACTGGATTTGGTGGAAGACATGGATTGGTTGGAAGACCTAAATTTTTCCGGAAGATGTGGATTAGCTGGAAGACCTTGATATTGATGGAAGTAGTGGATTGTCTGGAAGACCTTGAAATCATTGGAAGACATGGATTTCTGGAAGACGTGGATTTTCCTGGAAGATATGGACTTTGTGGAAGACCTACAATTGCTGGAAGACTGGATTTGCTGGAAGGCATGGATTGTCTGGAAGGCGTGGTTTGTCCGGAAGACGTGGATTGTCTGGAAGACATGGATTTTCTGGAAGACTGGGATTAGCTGGAAGACCTTGATGTTGTTGGAAGACTTGTAATTAGTTGGAAGACTTGGAGTTGCTGGAAGACCTGGAGTTGTTGGAAGACCTTGACACTGGCGCCATTGGAAGCCCTGGACATTGGAGACATTGGAAGCACAGGATATTGGAGACATTGGAAGCCTTGGATTTTGAGGACATTGGTTATTCTAGATATTGGAAACCTTGGAAGCCCTAAATATTGAAATTCATGGATATTAGAAGCCCTGAGCACTAGAGACATTGCAAGTCCTGGACCTTGGGTGCCCTAAACATTGGAAGGTATTGACAACAGAAGATCTAGACATTTAGAAATTCTAAATTCACAAACCCTGGATATTGGAAGACACTGGAAAACCTGAATATTGACATATTCATGTTAAAAGACATAGAATTTGAAAGATGTAATTTTCATGATGCTGCAGGTCAAAGATGTTGGAAGCCCTGGATATTAAGAGACCTAGACTTTAAGAGGTCAGGATGTTAAGAAACCCAATCACTTCAATATTAGGGATATTTGAACAACCTGAATAGTGAAAGACCAGGTTCATGGAGATATCAAAAAACTTGGGTATTGGAGAAACGAGACATTATAAAATCAGAATTTAGGAGACACTAAAAGTTGTGGGAACTGAATGATGTAAGTGCTGGACTTTGACACAATGAAATATATGAGCTCTAGAAGACTGGTATATACAAGGTAATGGAGAACTGGAAACATAGTAAAATTGGAAGTTAGAATTCTGCATTCTGAAAGACAAGACCGAGAACTTGAAGGGTGATTGTTGGAGATACTAGGAGACCTAGACTTTTAATGACCCTGATACTGAGAAGATTAGAAAACATTTGCATTGGAGGTGTTGCAGGCGAAAGAGTGAAAGATATGGACGTAACATTTAGAAGATCTGGCAATTGGAGATGTTGGGAGCTCTGGAGCTCAGAATACCTGATGTTAGAGACAATGAAGAATTGAAAAGCCTAATCTTAGAGATATTAGAAGGTCATGTTGAAAGATATTGACAATGTTGAAAAACTTTCATATTAGAATCTGATATTACATTTAAAAACATATCATAAGGCTATTGTAATAGACTTTATGACTATGGCATTTCTTTCACTAAAAAGCACAGGGAAAGGCCATTCTAGAAAGATTACAAAGAGGAAGCAGGGAAATTCAAGTTAAAACAAGTAGTTTGAATGGGCTGGAACCTATCTTAGTCTCTATTAGCTGGCCTTCTGGGTCTGTACTGGTTGACAGGATGGGAATGAGAAATTATCAAAGAATAAGCAATATTAAGGCTTGGCTTAAGCAATATCTACTTGGCTTAAGACAAGGGGTCAGCAAACATTTCCTATAAAGGATCGGATAGTAAGTATTTAAAGTTTTGCAGGCTGTACAGTTTGTGTTGTAACTTCTCAACTCTGCCATTGTAGTGCAGCTATAGACAATACATAAATGAGTGGGCATGGCTTGGGAAAAAGGGGGGGGGGGCTAGACTGAAAGATATTGCCAATGTTTGGCCCAAAGGTTTTAGTTTGCCAGACCCAGATCTAGATGCCAAATCTAGGGTATGGTAAACTTAAGTACATTCCAGGCTAGCATTCACATGCAGGAGAATGCATAGAACAATGTGAAGCCCACTGGTAAATAAATATACTATGTATGTGATGATACTCAGGAGATGAGGCTGGCCAGAACCTAAGAATGGGATTTAGATTTCCACTTAAATATTCAGGGGCCCAAACAAGGTGATTCATATTCAGAGCCAAAATTAAGTGGGTAGCATTCAGGGCCCCAGACAAAGGGGCTAGGGTTCAGTGAGGATGACCTAATTTAGTAGGCTGGAAGCTTAAGAAGAAAATTAAAGAAACTCACCCTTACAAATTGAGGTCATCTTGCCAGGACTAAGTGCCACTCTCCCAAAAAACGAGAATAGCCATCTCAGGACAGACAAGAAGCCAGTGGCAAACCCCAACTCTAAGTTCTTGTCATTATATCGCTACCAATTAATCAAGAGATAATGTTAAGTATCTGCAATGATGGAGGAGAACAAGAAGGAGACTACAGGTTGGTAATAAATCTAAATTTCTGATCTCATCCACCAGAGCTTAAGTGACAAGTTGAAGAGATCAGAGTTGACCTGTAGGCTGAAGATCCTTAGTACTTAGCCAGATAGGGCTGAGGAAGACAGGGACTATCACATGTACTGCATGAAAGAGAACAGTGGCAGACAAACCTGACTAAGGTATGTTGGGACTGGGTAATGATTTAAAGGTTAAGTAGTGGAATATATAGGGGAGGGGAAAAGTAGGTTTACAGTTGTGGGTATGCAAAACACAGAGTTTATTCTTATATTATTATTTAATTAATCTTCATGTCTTTTTCCATACAAATAACTGTAAACCTACTTTTGCCCACCACTGTATAGACAATGGGCAGCCACTGAAGATTTTTGAACAAGGAAAACAGAATCAGAATCGTGCACAAGGGAAGCTAGTAAATTAGCAAGTTGCTAAATACCAAAGACTATTAGATATATATACTAGAACAGAAAAGGCTCCTAGTTAAAACACTTAAAGGGTTGGGATGTGAGTTATGAGGCTACTTCAATCATCCAGGTTAAGTGATAGCAAGGGCTTGGATTAAGTAAGGTAGTGACAGTTCTGTGGTTTAGCCGACACAGCATTAGAGTTACAGTGAATGCTCTGCATTCTGAATACCACCATTTTAAATTTCTTGGATGCCACCACAGAATACACAAAATACAAAGAAGTTCAGAAGATAGTTATGAGGGATTTTCCTCTAGGAAGATTATTTAGACATACAATTCTCTCAAAAGCAGCTTAGCTAATAACTTGTGGTTTAAGCAACGTAGGTCTTACATAGTTTTACCTTTAGCTCCTATCAACACAAAAGTGACTTAATTATCTTAAAAGTGGAACCAAGTTGATGGATTATTTTCTAGAGAATAGGAATCCCCTAGATGTGAAAACAGTAGTTACCTTTACTCTCTAGATAAATAAGTATCATGCAATGACAACCACATTATAAATACAGCATATGGAATCACCACAGGTCAAAGAGTAACATAAAGACAAAGGAGTTATTATTTTAGGTATCTCTCAGAAGCAAACAAAGACAACTATTAAAATCATTTTTTTATTCCTTATCTCTTCTTAAAACCATCATGCATACCTTATTTCGAGGCAAATTTGATAAAATATCAAAATATTAAAATTTTTCAAAGACAGGAATAAACTATCATGTAGTTCTATAACGCTCATTTGTTATAATAATAATAACAGCAACAATTTATTGAGTACTTACTATATGCCAGGCACTGTACTAAGCATTTCATATAATCTCATAGCAAGCCTATAATGCAGGTATTTTTTACCCCGTTTTACAGATTAGAAACCCATGTCTAAAATGGTTAAAAAAACATGCTCACAGTCACAAAGCTAGTAATCGGCAAGGACAGCATTGAAAACAAGTCTTTCTGATTCCAAAGCCTTAGGTCTCGTGCTGGCTTCTCATGCCCCAAGAGTTATCCTGCCAGGACTAAGCACCCCCCCCC